AAAATTATAAAAAAATTTGATTACCAACATAGAAGGTGTATAATTATAAGATAATAACATTTTAGATCACTTTAAACAAGATAATAAGGTGTATATATGATGATATATTGATATTTAATGGTAAATTTTTTTTTTACTTTTTTTGAAATTGAGATTAACTAAATACTCAATATTAAATTAATATAAAGATTAACTAAATTTTTCATGCCATGCAATTCTTAGTCAAGTCTAGTCTAAAACTTAAATAACCATGTACATAAAGCTAAGTTATGATAATTTGCTATCTTACAGATATTAAAATTTTAAACTTGTTTTGCTACAAAGTTTATTACATATACACCACGTTTAATTTTAAATTATTGAACTAGTAATAAATAATTTGAAAACTACATGAATAAAAATGTTTTAATTTATAAGTTGTTAATCCTATGTTTATTAAAAACTTAAATAATGCAATGAAAAACATAAATAACATATCTTATTTTATAATTTATTCTCCCAGTTCAATGTTTCTTAGAAATTATTTAAAAATTTAAAACTAATTTTGGAAGTACATCATACAAATAAGTGAATTTTTATAATTTATTTTTATTATAGAATCTCTCATATTTATATATATTTAAAATATGAACGATTTGTTGTATTCCATCGTCTTCCTGCTACAATTGAAGCAGTGTGGGTGCCATGGCCTCTATTATCTCTGACTGATTCATCTACATAGAATCGTGCTCCTATGATTTTGTGGTTGCATTTGAAGTTTTTGCCTGCCGCGCAAGTTCCTGGACAGTGGACACACAGAATACAAACGTACCAAACAATAATTTAGGGTTTAATTAATAAGATTTTTTTAATTGAGACATCCTATATTAAATAAGGTAAAGATAAAAAAAATATGTAATTTTAAATAAAGACAATTGACTAACTCATTAGGACTGATAGAGTATATATGTGTGTGTGTATAATTTATATTGCCCAAGTAAAATTTTCCAAATTGCCCAAATCAAACTTTGAAGTCGCAAATCCATCTTATTTAAAGCTAATGCATTTACTTTGAATAAATGCAAGCACCAATCAATTCTTCACTCATTAAACGTATTAGACATCATTTTTAGATATGAAACAGAAGCAAAATCAAATTTTTTAAGTAGAAATAAATAAAAGTCACAAGTGTTGTAAAAATATAGTTATAAATAGTCCTTCATGTTGTAATGATATATGCAATTGGCAGTAATATTACAACAATGGCTAAGCATCATCGTTCTGATGTTTTCTTTTGTTTGTCTCTCACTCTTGCTTCTATAGCAATGCCCTTGACATGCCAAGCTAGTGGCACTGATGATGATGAAAGAAAAACATATATCATCTAGATGGGATCACTTCCCGGTGAATCATTGTACTCTCCGACCTCTGATCATCTCAGCATGCTTCAACAATTGACCAATGAAATGGATGCAGCAAGTTCGTTGGTTCGAAGCTATAAGAGAAGTTTCAATGGGTTCTCTGCAAAACTGACAGAAGAACAAAGAGGAAAGAGTGGTGAGATGAAAGGAGTGGTATCGATTTTTCCAAGCACAACACTTCACACGCACACAACAAGATCATGGGATTTCATGGGTATGGTTGAGTCAATCACACGAAACATGTCGGATGAAAGTGATGTTATGTTGGGACACATTGACACTGGAATTTGGCCTGAATCTGAGAGTTTTAGAGCTTTTCGGTCCTCCTCCTAAAAAATGGAAAGGTATTCTCTTCCAAAACTATGAAAATATAATATAACATGATTAGTTTAGTCTGGATTCTTTTGTTAAGATTTCATCAGTATGATATTGGATATTGAATATTGAATCATGTTGTCATAACAAATAATTTTTTATTTTATTATTTCAAAAGTGAATAATTCATGAAATCAAAATAAATAAAAGTAGATGTTGGAATGATCCTTTTTCATTTCTTTTTTTTGGACCAAAAGTGTAGTTATTATTTGATTGACTTAATAAAAAAAATGAAAACAGATGGGGAATTTTTGGACAAATTTTAATTGTTTGTATTGTGTCCAGGAACTTGTGCAGGTGGGAAAAACTTCAAATGCAACAACAAAATCATAGGAGCACGATACTACATTGAAGCACGCACACTGCTTCTCAACTATAAATAGAGTCGAGAATAAAGACCAAGTATGAGAGTCAAGTTTGAAAACCTAATTTATATAAGAGGTAAGGTTTGAAAAATTGATGGTTTTTTTTTTAAAAAAAAATTAAGCTTTTAAATCCGACCCTAATAGGCTCTAAAAAAAGGGCTCGGGCTTGGACAGATCTCTAAACCTTATTCTTCAAAATATTAATGTTGATTCTTTTGCCATTTATGTTAACAAGATATTGAGAGATTTTTTATTAATTTCCTAAACATGATTACTTTTTAAAGTCTATTTCTTAGTTTTAATTAATGTTGCAATTTATGATACACAAGTTTTTATATTTATTAAATTTGATAAGATTAATTTAAAATGAAAATTTGTATAGTCACTTTAAAAGTTGATTAAAATTCCAATTATGTATTTGTATTTATTTATTTTATTAAATTTTTTATTTTTTTATTTTTTTTAAAACAAAACGAGCTCAAGGCCAAGCTTCAAAAATATATCATCTTTTTTAGAAAACGGGCTTAAGGGCCTGAACTCTTAAGAGTTGGGCCGGCTCATTTTCTCACTCTTACTGTAGCAGGAAACTGTATTCATGGCGTGAGCTTGTACGGAATCACAGAAGGCACTGCAAGAGGAGGGGTCCCATCTGCAAGAATCGCTGTATCCAAAGCTTGCAACAGTCATACATATATGAATACATGAAGTTTTGTTAACAAAAAAAAAAAAAAATTGGGTAAAGAGTTGGTGTATCTCACATGAATTAACAAACATGGTACATATATGTACTAGGTTACGATGTTGCCAAAATCTTGGCTGCTTTTGATGATGCCATTGCAGATGGAGTTGATACCATTTCAGTTTCACTGGGTTTGGATGATCCACCTTATTCTTTCAATCAAGATGCTGTGGCAATATGTTCATTTCATGCAATGGTTAGAGGGATGCTCACAGTGCAATCTGCGGGAAATAACGGGCCTGTTCCAAGCTTGGCCGCCAGTTTAACGCCGTGGGTACTTTCAGTCGCAGCAAGCACCACAGATCGCCAGATATTCAACAAGCTTGTTCTTGGAAATGGAACTATCTTGGTGCGAAGTGAAATAAATGTCTTTGAGTCAAAGGGCACAAAATTGCCCATCGCAAAATGCCACAAAAATGTTTTGGAGATCTGTGGACATTGCTCAAAGGAAAGATCGTATCTTGCCCTGCTGATGAGACTGAGTGTGCTAATTCTTATGAAGCTGGTGCTGTTGGTGTAATTGAAGATAGTATGGGCCTTTGGAAATTGTGACTATACTTCCATCAATTTTTTTGTCTACTGAACAAGACACTAATTAAGTCTTGCACAATATCAGAACACCCAGAAGCTGAGATAACCAAGAGTGAGAGTATTATGGATAGCACTGCACCAGGAGTAGCTAAATTCTCGTCACGTGGGCCCAACAAGATAGTTCCTGAAATCCTAAAACTAGATATAACTGCCTCTGGAGTTGATATTTTAGTAGCATTTTCACCCATGGTTTCTCCATCAGGTAACACTTCAGAAAAATGATCTATAAAAGTACAAAATACATTATAACTGATCATGCATATATATATCACCTTTAGTTTCATTTTACAATGATACTACTCCATTTTGAAATATAAGAAAAATTACCTTATGTTTCTTTGTTTTTCATTATAAGCAAAACAACCAATTTTAAGAAGCATTACTCATATTTTTCCTAAATTGTCCCTCATAAATAGAGAATGCTATCAAATTAGAGGGAAAAAAGTAAACATTAATTATAAGAATATTTTTGTCTAAACTTTTCAATTTCAAACATAATTAGTATGATTAACTAATTTTCTTAAATTATGAGTTGGTTGAAATTCTTCTATATTCAAAAATGGAGGGAGTGTGATTGTTAGATTGTGGAGGGAGATAGTTAAACACACGTATGCATTATTGACTTTTACTTTTACAACTTCATTCTTCACTCTATACACTAAAAGAGATTTATAATTTCTCCTCCAGGCTCTGATACCATAGACACAAGAAGGTTCAATTACAGTTTTCTCAAAGGATCTTCTATGGCATGTCCACACGTGTCTGGAGCAGCTGCCTATGCGAAAAGTTGCCATCCACATTGGTCTCCAGCAGCCTTCAAATCTGCAATTATGACTACAGCTAAACCTATGACTGGCAACGTCGATAATCACATTGGTGAGTTTGCTTATGGATCAGGACATGTTAATCCTGTGCAAGCTATTGATCCTGGTTTCCGGATTAGTTTATGACCTTTCCAAGGAAGATTACTTGCTAATTCTTTGCAACTTGGGTTATGATACTCAAATGATTCAACAGATCTCTGAAGCTCCAGATATTACATGTCCTAAGTTTCCGGATAGATCCATGATAATAAACGCAAATTATCCCCCAATAGGGATAAAGGTTATACAAACTTCCATTGTCAAGGTCAATCGAGTAGTCACAAATGTTGGATTTGCCAGCTCAAATTACACAGCAACTATTCTCCCAACATCAGGACTCAACATTGCAGTGGAACCTCAGTTCCTTTCTTTCAAGTCTTTGAATGAGAAACAGACTTTTGTTGTCACAATCGTCGGATAAAAATTGCCAAAAAAAAGTGATGTCCACATCACTTCCATGGTCAGATGGAACTCACAATGTTAGGAGTCCCATTATTGTAAATGTCCTGAAACTCAATTAAACATTTTTTTGTGCCAAGCAGTGGACCTTAATTAATAGCCGGCACTTTTGACTTGAATTATAAGATTTATTATAATTATGAATTGATATGATTTGTATCATTCGAAATAATTTTTCTAACATGATTGCTAACGTTAACTATATGAATTAATAAATTAACCTTTCCTTAATAATAACTATTTAAGATCAAATCTCAATTCAAGTCTTTCACCTGAGGATCAAACAGACTAGATACGTTAACAAATTGACTGCTGCTTTGCTTGTTTTCCTACAAACTTTTCCCCACATGGGATTTGATTACTCAACGGCGCTTCTTACCCTTCTTCTTATCTCCGTTTTTCCTTTTTCCTCCACCGGGTCTGGGCACATGGTTTTCAGTAACTTGATCTTTAGATTGGGCTGGATTTAACAAATGCTTCACATTAAGGACGCCATTTTTGAAACGACCTTCACTTGACTTCAGACCCCTCTCCTCAGGTCTTCGCTTCCCCACTGATCTTTTACTGCTGCCACCAAGCTTTCCCCCAAATTGTCCAAGAATCAAGCGCTACAAGCCAGAGTGGAGAAAATTGGTAAAACAGTCAGCAGGAGTCACACACACCAGTAAGATCATTAATACCATCAGAAATGTTCTAGCGATTTTTAAGCAGCTGTTTGTTGCTACCACAATTCAAGCTCAAAGGAGATTCAAACACATGTTAAGGATTAATTTAAGCTATTCACCGTAGTTGTTTCCTTTAAAAAGCTTGTGCCATTGGATTGAGACCATTCTCGACAATGATGGTCAAACCTTGTCCATTAAATTAATTGTGAGCAATCATTCTAGTGAATGCAACGGCTTTACCTCTTGGAGCATTTGCTGCTCTCTCTCCTTCTGTTTCTTCATCCTTGGTCGTGCCACGCTTAAAGGTAATCTCTGCTGCTTAGGGGCCTGCATAAGGAACAAAGACAACAATATTAGATTTGTTTGCCAGGTCCCCAAGTCTATATGTTGTTCCGTAGCACATGATGCAGCAAAGATACCTTCCCGCCTAGAGAAACAACCTTCCTATCTTCAATCTTCTTACGTTCTTTCCATGACATATGTGAGTAGCCTGAAAAAATAGCATTAGTTGGCACCATCAAGAGCAACATCAAATCATCAATATGAAATTCAATGGACAAGGTTAATTGGGAATCACAAACTACAGAAGGAACTGTTTTAAAACCATAAATTTCTAGACCCAGACACGCCTTCACTTACCATCAAGCAAATATCCAATAAGCCAAATCACGATGAAAAATGCACAAGCAAAATACCATATTCAGCGCAATTTTTTAATCCCGCATACTCTTCCAATAATGTCCAGTGCTCTTGCTTTATTTTAAAATGCCAACTCAAAATTGAAATCTGATCAGGTATGAACTTTATTAGTATTTGACTTTTGACTAGCTGTTATGTAGCGTTTGACTCTATGGAATTTTGACCAGTTACTATGTATGAGTTCACACTGTGGATTATTAACCTTGGATTGCAATGTAAAACCTGGTATGACATACAATGAAGCTCAGAATTCACTATATTTTATAGATAAACTTCATGAAATTAAAGTTTAGAGAAATTTATTGATAGTTCGAGAAATAATTCAAGGGTTTACACACACAAGGTGAAAGCACAATCTTACACATTATTCATAATTGAACAGCTTCAAATCTATAACCAAGACTAAAGCAGTTTAACATGCCACCTTTCTTCTCCATTAAAAACAAAGGTTAAAATAAATATAAGCCCCCCAAACTTTGAGTCATATGCACAGGACACCTCTAACGTCTTATAGTTGTAATAAACTCTCCTCAACTTTTCTTTATAAGCAAAGAACTCCCTTCAGAGAATCCGTTAAGTCATTAAAGAAAATTGCTATGTTATCTATAAGGGTATTATTTGACACCTGATTTGGACTCAGGTATTTTAGTTATTTCCTCCTCGCACAAACGCACAACATCCTTTGTTCTTCATTAAAAAGCTGAGAGTATAGTTCTCCTAGTAGATATATTCTCATCCCCGTTAACATCTGATTCATAACTCTTCAATAGAAGTTTGAGTTTAGATGCAGGAAATGTTTGTTCTAAGGAACTTTGCCATCAATGCCATCTAGTAGCCCAAACCAATTTCCTTTGCTATTGGTAATTGTGCCATCAAAGCATTCAAAAGGGGCATTATTATAGCAGCACATATTACTATCAACGAGAACCATTAAATGTGTTATGTCTTGCAGGCGATTTCATTAAAGCAAGCAAAGAGAGCTAAAAAAATTGAAGAAAATAATTTGAAGAAAAACTCATAGACTGAGTTTCCTTAAACATGAGATCCATTATAATTTTCTCCTTTAACATTGTTTAAAAGACCAACAATGTTTATTTTAACAAAGGAATCCAAGAACTAGAGTACGTACAAAGAGAAAATCTACATGTTGAACCACCAGCAATTCTGCAGAAATCCAAAACAAAACCAAAAAAAAAACAGAGTGCAGCTTTCTAGGTACATGAAGGGAATGAAGAAATCCAACAAGAAAGAGTATCGTAAGTTTGCAAGATTATCATGAAAAACCCGGGTGCAACACCTTCCTCCAGCCACAACTTTGCTATAGGTGCAAAAGGGGGCATTCAAAATCCAAAGCATGAAGGATAGAGGAGGAAGATGGAATTTGGGGCTTGAGCAACTTTGATACAGGTGCACAATGGAGATGGAAATGGTATATCCCAGTGATGGAGACAGAAGAAGATGAAATCTGGAAACTAGGGAAGGAAAAAATAATGGGTTTTTCTTGACTTTCTAAGGGAGTAGAAAACAAAATGTGCTTTTTGATTGGGGAGAGAAATTAATAAATGACCCAGGATGTAAGATGCAATGTGGCTCAATTAACTCTGACATGGCAGTTTCCATAAATAATTTAACAGTTTCACCAACAGTAAGGGTTTCTCTACATGGTACATATAAATAAACGTTAAGGAAAGTTTATTGTCGAGCTAAAAAGAGCCAAAAAGATTGTTCTTCACACAAGTTTATGGAGGTTATGAGTACTTTAGAAGAAAAGGGGAAAAAAAGGGAACCAATACATATCAAGAATGGAAAAAAAATAGCATCCTAAATCTTAAATTCACTAAAAAAAAAAGTATTTTAAAGAATATCATGAATATTAGTTACCAAACATGTATAGGTTGAGCTGCAACAGACCAAACCAAAGAAATCAAGACCCAGATATTCAAATTGCATGACCAAGAATACAATCATCCACAATTTTGTGTAGTCTGAAGTCCAGTTTGAATTCTCCATAAGAGAACCAGAGCATAACAAAATAAGCAAAAAGCATATCATAGTAAACGAAAAGACTAATACAATAGGGGATGATAATTAACAAAAGGTAAAAGAAGGTGGTGCAAAAGGCAATGGAAGAAAAGTACCAAAATTTTCGACATCTTTCATAATCTTCCTTATGTCCATTTCTTGATCCTGTGCACCCATATGACCATGTAAGGGTCCATGCTTATCAACTTGTTTCTTCTTCTTGTACATTTTTTCCAAGAACTACCTGAAAGTCAAAAGAGAGGATATCAAGAAATAAACTATTAGTAAATGACGAAACTCTAGGAAGCAATTCAGATTTGAGAAGGATGCAAATTGATGCCTTCATCAACCAAAACATTTGAGCCTGTTCATGGGAGTTCTATATTCTATAACAAAATTATACAATCCTTATCAAACAGGCCAGAAAAGAAAGAAAACTAATACTGCATAAGATAATTGCAACTTGCAGACAATGAATTATAAAATCAGGCATTATAAATTCCTTGCATTCTCTTACCAATAACATCATTCAAGAAGAATGAGTAAGATGCTTTTCCCCCATCATTCACTGGTGTCAAAGGAAAACGAGGGTTGGATAGTGATTGTTGACCTTCTCCCAGGTCTCCAAGACTTACCTCGCAAATTAAAATTTTCTATTGGTATGGATCTCTACAAACTCTTCCATCAGGTACAAAGCTGGATAAACTCATACATCTCAAAATGCAAAATACCAAAATAAAGCCACTTGGGCATGGTTGCAGTGTAGGTTACTTTGACCATTCTCACACATCTCTATTGATTAAGCAGAGTGTTTTCTATAGCTTATTTTTCCAATCTTTATATTTTTATCAGATGGATAATCTAAAGTTTTTGGACGTGAGAAACTCCAAATCTTGCAATATGTCGAAAACTAGAAAGATTAGTTCTTGAGGGATGCAAGCAACTTGTAAAAATTGATCCTTCTCTTGGCCAGCTGAAAAGCCTTGTTGAAATAAATTTTAAAGATTGCATAAATCTTAAAATCCTTCCAATATAATTGGAAATGGCATCTCTGAAAGCGTTTGTTCTCTGTAGCTCCATTAAAGTAAAAAAAATAATTACAAAATTTGGGGAATTTATGAAAACTCTCTTAGTACTCGACGTTAAGAAGGCAAGTATAGCCGAACTCCCCGAGTCACTTGGATCCCTAATTAATCTGGAAACTTTGGATTTAAGGGGATGCCCAAATCTTCGTGCCCTTCCCCTGAACATTCACAAATTGAAGCGCCTGAAAGTTCTGGATATTTATGGATGCTCGCGATTTTGTAGACTACCAGCAGTTTATGCAGAAAAGCAAACAAGAGTTGCCTGAGTTCGTAAAGGAGGTTAGTTCCGGTACATACCCGACAGCGATATCTGATGGCGAAAGAAAGGAATGGCGATGCCGGCTAGCGACAAAGGCTGGGCTGGCGGCTGCAGAACGATGTGGCTTGAGAGGTAACGGAGGAAGCACAGAAGGGTGATAGCAACGAGCCAAAGAGGGATTGGCAAGGTTATTTTTGTAATTAAAAAATAACTGTCAACATTTTGGTCCTTGCAAAAATCTGCCCCTCCTCATATGAAACGCGGGATTGTTTTGTGTTTTAGGCTGGGCTCCTTTAACGTTTTGGTCTAACATGATAAAGGATTGGCCTCGTTAAACAAAAATTTAATTAAAAAAAAAAAAAGGAAAGAAACTATCCTCATGCAAGATTTAAAAAAAAAAAAAAACATAACAAGCTTCCATTTGCAACTTGCAAGTGATTTTTTTTTTTTTTCAGAGTAGGCTTCCGTTAGCATCTACAAAACATTTTTTTGTTCTGTACCACAGAATCTGAGTACAAAAGGAAGGTACGATTCTGAGGGAAAAAAAGGCTAGGTAGCTAAAGCTTGAATTGCATGATAACAAAGCATGCTATGTATAGCTGATAAATAGTGGATTTTTTACATATTTCACCATTTATAATGAAAGTTATCAAATTACTTGAGTTATGTAACCAAGAAAGATGAGTATTTCTTTTGGCTACTGGCTAGGATTAGGATAAATATGTTTTAGAAATAGAGATTAGTAAATCATACTGGTCTATTTTTTTTTTTTCAGAAAGCAATTAAAAGATTTTTTTATTCAATTTTTAAAACTCTGTTTTTTGACTTTTAAGGAAACATGGTAAAAAAAATTATTTTGAATTCTAAAAAATATTTTTAATTGAACAAAATAAAAAAAACAACAACAACATAAAGCACTAAAAAAAACGATAGGAGAATGAAATTAAAGTCCTAAAACAATAATTTATAACAATTAAATCCCCAATAAATTTTTTTAAAATATCAATTGTAATTATTAATTTAGACAATTATAAATTCTGAAGTTCTAATTACAAATAAAAATTTTAAATTTTAAATATAAATCTCAGTTTGTAATTAGAATTTCAATTCATAACCATTTAAATCAATATTTTTAATTTTTTAAAAAAATATTGAGTACCTAATTGTCATAAAGTTTTTGTTATAGGACTTTATTGTCATTCTCCAAAAAAACAAAAATTAGGCAATAATTAACCATGATCTCTAATAAATCACCATAAGGACAGAGAATATAATACTGCATTATATATTTAGTGTACAGCAATGCAACCTCATCTAATCAAATTAACCCCCATGATTAATTTGATGGCTCAGCATTCCCAATAAATAATAACAATAATAAGAAAAATCTTTGAAATAAACCAAAGCAATATGGAAACTGTAATTTTTAAAAATAATAATAATAATAATAAAGTAAATTCCCATAACAAACTAAAACCAAGAAAGCAAAGCCAAGCAAAACAACAATCCCACACAACTTGTCATGAAGTTCTGCAGAATCAATACTGAAACAGAACCAGAATTGACCTTCACATCATCATCATCATCATCTTTATCACTTGTTGCTGATCCTTTAGGGTTTGTAAAATTTCCATTAACGATCGTGTCTGGTGCCACGTCATCAGATCCAGAAACTGGGCTTGATGCAGGAGAAGGAGAAGAATCAACATAACTAGGGTTATCTCTCAAGCTTTTTGGCAACCCTTGTCCATACGTCACATTTATTTGAAAACGTTGCCCATTTTGACATTGCTCGCCGTCGTAGTCACTTGAGAAGAAGTATGTCATCCCTTCCTTCACCAGCGGCACAGCCACCGTCACCGGTCGGACTTCAGTGTTCGACGGATCTGAAGCTGACCACTCGGTTGTGTCTTTGTCTTGTGCATCGTCATAGTCACATAGTATGTACGTAGTGTGGTTGTATGTTTGTAAACCGAGTGATTGGTATCTGTGTTGAAAACTACACAAAAGCAATCGATGATATAACAAAGTGAGGTCAAGCTTTCAAGTTGTGAAATAAATATGCATACTAGAAAATTCAACTTACGTGTCAATCCTAATTCATTATGTGTTTAACAGTATACTGTTCATGTACTTGCTATAGGATTTATAAATAAGTTATTTTTAATTATCTTATCAAGGTAATTAAACTATTGATGTTATTTGGAAAAGAAAAAAATTTCTCAATTTATTATCATATTTTAAAATATTTTCTCTCTTACATATAAGATTTTAATCTACTCATAAAAAGCTATAAAAAATTAAATTTAAAAAATAATTAATGATTTATCTTTTTGTGCGAAGTGACTTATCACCGTCCATTTATTCTAAAAAATAATTTATAGATAAAAGCGGACGAAGTGCATAATTTTACTTTTACTGTGCCGAACTTTATTCTGATGATAATAATATATTTAAATGTTTTTTCACCAAAGGTATTTATTTATATGTATATTTATCCTGGTGCAACTCATGGTACCATATATTATTATATTAATCAATATAATATCGAACAATGTAGACAAATTTCAAATAAGATAAAATTTTACTGTCTGAAATATGCTTGATCTGAAGAGAATGCAAGAAAATTAATAGGAAAATAATTTGGACATTTTTTTATTTATTTAATTTAACTTCAATATTTTAATTTCTTGAAATATATTTTTAAAAAATAAAAAAAGCAATATTTATTTAAATTTTAAAAAAAAATTCTCCTACCTTTTATCATTTTTTTTCATCCCCAAATCCCCTCAACTCAGTATTCAAAACTGATATAACTAAAGGTGATCACAGTTCTCTGTATTACACTATTACCTCAATCTGGTTCTGTCCAGAAACCAGATCAGTGTCCAATATTTAAACCCAAGGAAGAAATAGATCAAGACAATTTGGAAGAATCAGATGAAACAACTGAAATCATGTAATTATACAGTAGAAATAAAGAAAGAAAAGGGTCGAGGAGAAGTATATATAAAGTCTGAGTCAATAATAAAGATTAAAAGAAAGTTATGAACAGAGCACATCAAGAGAAGCTCATCAACAGAAGAAGATGATACATACTGAGGAAATCTCCGAGGGAGAAGTGTTTGTCAGAAGCCCAATTCTGGTAATCAACATCAGGTTTCTCGAGATTGTCGAACCAACCCGGAGAATCTCCGACTGTGTAGTTCTTGTAAGCTCTGGCAGATCCTGAGAAACAGAGCACAAGAAGAAGAAGAAGAAGAAGAGAAGAGAGATTGGTGAATAGAAATGCAGAGGAGGAGGATCCTGTTCTGGGTTCCATTTCTGCCCTTGCCCCTTGGGATCAGTGGTTGAATTCGCAGAGGTTCTGACTTCCTAAGAAAACAAGAAATGAATGAGAATGTGAGATGGTGGTGTTGTCTGATATGGCGGTAATCTTTTATTTATAATATCAGTATTAACGCTGGCAGAAGTAACATGCAGTAATGTGTACAAGTCACCTTATTTTTAAAAAAATAGCAATCCAAATAAATAATTATAAATTCAGGATTTTTTTTGTTACCTCATGTATTATCTTATGGGAAGAGATTATATTTAAAACATAACACTAAATATGAATATCTTTTTGAGTAAGAATTTAAATTTTAATTTACTGTGTTGTGAGAAAATAACTTCTTCTACTATACTTGACCTTTGTTTGTAAACTCAAAAATTCTAATTATAAATAAGATATTTAATTTTAAATATAACTCTTAATGCTATGCTTGATGAGAGAGAAAAGTGAAAGGGAGAGAAAAATGAGAAGGAAAAGCGAAAAAAAAAATTATTTTTTCTCACTTGATTGTGGAGAGAAAAGTAAGAGGATTAAATCTTGATTTACTGTGTTGTGAGAAAATAACTTCTTCTACTATACTTGACCTTTGTTTGTAAACTCAAAAATTCTAATTATAAATAAAATATTTAATTCTAAATATAACTCTTAATGCTATGCTTGATGAGAGAGAAAAGTGAAAGGGAGAGAAAAATGAGAAGCAAAAGCAAAAAAAAAATATTTTTTCTCACTTTATTGTGGAGAGAAAAGTGAGAGTCTCCTTGAAAAGATTTTGGAGAGGAAATTTTATTTTTAAATTTATCTACTAGTTTTTATTGTTGCCGCCTCTTGCTTTTATTTATTTTTATCATAATATTTTTAGTATAATTACATTTTAATCATAAAATTTTACTAAATAAATAATATATTAATTTTAGATTTATTAGATAAATGCTAATTCTAAATTTTTAAATTAATTTTTAATTAATACCTTATATTTGATTCCGTCCAACTCATAGATTATCTCCTTTGCAGTATTGAAGGCAAATACTAAACTACTTTTAATTAAATTGCTACATACTTCCTTTCATTCTTATTATAAGATGCTTTTAACTATTTTATCAAAAAAATTTAATTTTTTAATATTATAAAAAAATAAGATGTACTTTCATTCTTACTATTGATTTTAAATAATATATAATTACATCAAATAGCTTCATGCTAATTAAAAAGGAGTAAAATTGAACGAAGTAGTTTAATTATTACAATGTATTATATATTTTGAATTAAAAATTACTTCTAAAAAGTGTTTTATGCATAAGACCGGGAGAGTATAAAAAAAGCTATAATTTAAACTTTTAACTATTTATTTAATGATGAAGTCTCCTACCTCTCAAGTCAATTTTAATTGGTTGCAATTGAGATTTTTACTCATAATTTTTTGAATCAATATTAATAACTCATTTTTTAAAAAAATATCAAACCTAATTATCATTAATTTTAGCTTGCGACTTTTTTATCATTCCCCGGCAAATTACCTTGTTGGAGTACACTTCGGAGGGGCCCTTTTTTGTTTTGTTTTGTTTTGAGATTTGTGCTTTTTTTTTTTTTTTACCAAAAGATTTGTGCTTTTAAATAAAGATAAATTTTAAAAAAATTATTGCTAACGCCACGCCATGCCAGGTGCCACTCCCTCGAGTGACTAAACTCCTGATTCATGTTACTCTCAATGATTGATGTTCCTGTTGTTCCTTTTATTTTTCTTGCTTTTTCTATAGCTCCAATGCTCCATAGCATTTATTCATTTGATTATAATTTATCATTAACTAACATTTTATCATCATCATCATCACTATAGAATTTT